CTTCCAATTACAATAGGGCCTTCGTGCTCGGGCCCTAAATATATTTCAGAGATTCCTCTGCATACCACAAGAGGCAGTACCATACTTTGACAACTAGTGATCTAAACTGTATTTGTCCAACCCTGTCTAATGGGTGAAGTAAACATTATTAAATTCCCTGTGTGACTGAATTAGCTGAAGCAACACACAATCCTCACCAAGATGGTCTTTTACACATAAACATATGGGCCATTAGAAGTCAGGTACTATATGGTGAGGCACATGGAGACACACTTTTGGCTGGCTCTATAAAGAGGAAATACAGAATAATGTGCAGAAATGAAGAATTCTAAAACTAAATTCAAACTTATTTTATAAAAATCATTTATTGAACTGTAATCATACAGTTGCAAATCAGTTAAGGCACCTTATTACATCTGCACAGATGTCACGACTGACTCTAAGGTATCAAGGTATGGTTGTCAATAACTTAATGGAAACAAACAGGATAACATTCACATTAAAGATAAAGAAATTCATGTGTGTTTGAGCATACTGTACTTAAGATAACACATTCTACAGTTACATTCAGTAAGATACGTTAGAGCTACATTCAGGAGCAGACTGAATCTTTTTTTTTCCATACACATTCATACAGATGGGTGTGAGTGGTACATGTCTGAGACCAGGCTCAGGTTGCATTGACTTGAAATATTTAGAAAAGCACTGAGTCACAATAGGAAAATTCTGTGAACATTTTTGAATACCTCTGGGCAAACTTGGCAAACTGTGCACGAGTCCTTTGGTATGCGTGATATTGTGTCATTCTGTAAGACATCAACATGAATCCATCTGCTGCTCTAAAGTGAACGGGATAACATGGATCTTTATTCATCAGAAGGCACCAAGGAGCAACTGCTCAGGTTAATTTCTTCTTTCTGCAACTTGAACTTTGCTTAAAGCAAAGAAACACACTTTGGAGGAGGCTTTCATTAAGACTAATGGTAGGCCATTCACTGGCCTAAAGTGGATGCTTGTCGCGTGATGGGGTAATCCTTTGGGTACAGCCATTGTCAGTTTTTCAAACTCCAGTCACTTTGGGAGCTCATGTCTTTGTAGTGGAACTGACATACTACTCGATAGCACCAGGCCTGGTAGCCACGTAGACAAAGACCACGATGAGAAGCACCACTACAGCCAGCGTAGGCAGCACTACAGTGGCCACCTGCTGTCGGGCCTCCTGCATTGCCTGCTTACGCTCCTTCTTGTCCTTGGAGGTTTCTTTCTTGGGTTTGCCTTTGAGCTGCCTCATGATGTCTCCACGACTGCTCACCCTATGTCCTTGCTGGGCTCACAGGAACCTGACAGACACAAACACATTTTTATGCTTAAATTCCCAACCATTAGTTGGCAGTGTTGTACACAGAAGGCTATAATGTCGGATGTTTGAGTCACTGTGATGCAAATGCAGATCTCACTGTTCTGGTTGCATTACAAAAGTACATTTTTTATTACTTTTATTACTTTGTAATATGACAGTTATCCTAGCATTAGATTACAAAATTGCAAAATATCACCTTGCTTACAGTATTGCGATATATACCAATATACTGAGCGTAACCCCTGTATCGTGATACTTCGTATATCACCAATACAAGAAGACTACTACTTGCCCTAATAGACAGCAAAGCATCAAATTCCTGGAAGTAGACACTGGACTTCATGCAAGAACATTTTCTTCCCCTGCTGCCGTTTAGGCTTTGACCAAAAGTTAAATGTTGTTTGTTAACATTTCCTTTTTTATATATTATAGCTATAGATGTTTGATTGTTTGTTTATGGCACAAAATGGCTCTTTTGATAAACCTAAACCTACTTTCTTCAGTAAGCCTAACTTAACTGAACAAACGTTTTGTAAATCAGCATGATGGATGTCACCTGTCCATCAGGAGGTTCCAAACTGTACAATATGATTGTTAATACAATCACTGCAAACTGAGCAGTCGGATTCAGAGACTTTTCCTGACAACTGAACTGTAGTATATAAGTTGTCATGCAAACACATGCAAATACAATCATTAAATTAAAAAAGGAAAAATATTGCAGAAGCTCTCAGTAATGATAACATGGTGAAAAGAATATTAATGCTGCACTAAAGGAAAAGCTGTCTGGTGTCCATATGTACATTAAAACAGGTTGTGCAAATTATACATATACATACATACATATAACATTTCTGACAAAAACAAGCCAAAGTTATGAAACGTTAAATGTCTAAAACCAAACAACCACACAAGAACTTTGCTTTAATAAAATTAAATATTATTAAAATAATAAATCCAAATAAAGGAGAAGAAAAGAGAAAAAACTAAAAAGGAGACTATGGATCCAATTAGTGGTCGATTAGATTATTATTAGAGGTGTGTTTAATGTAAACAGTAGGAAGAAGCACACTAACATGAATGTTTGATTGATCCTAACAGTCTGAGGAGACCTCTGCTGCCTTCTCAAATCATCAGGGAGTTGAGACAACATCTTAACACGAATGCCACTTACTTCATTTGAAGTAAATTACCAAAATATGCCATTACTAGAATTTCATCAGAATTCAGACCACAAAGAGTAGCTTTCTACCTTTGATTTGATAGTGCTCCCCTTGTGAGTTTTGGTAAGTTGGTGAAAAAGTTGGTTTCCAGCTAATTTTCTCTCAAATAGAATTATATAGACTTTTTTGGTTTTGATATAAGCATTAGGCTATGTAATAGCCATTGCAGCCCTGCTCTCTAAATATCGGCATCGGCCACTGAAAAACCCATATCAGAGAAATAATATTTTAATATTTAACACTCAAATACTATTTACTAGTTTATGTCAGATTGTAGTGCTTATACAACAACAATCTTAAAATATGTCATTTTGAAATGGAAGCAATGTTAAAGTGGTTGACATATCTTTTTTATATTAAGTTCTGTTTTTACTGCATTGCACACAATGGCACTAAAATGTTTATATATTCTATGTACAGTATACGCCACTACATATACCTATATAAAGGTCCAGTCACGCAAGAAAACAAAAAAACAGTGCAATCACCAGTCTAAAAACAAATACTGCCTGGCAGCAGTATGAACTGATGTACAGTGTGGTATTTAACACCATCTAGTGGCCTTATTAACACTAGCAGCTGCTTTAAACCAGCATAGCAGAGGACAAGAAGAATAGGATAGAGTCAATAAAGTGCAGAAACTACAGATCCATGCTGTTTATAGTGTATTTTAGTGTGAAGGTCGGTGTGTGGTTAGACTGTTTCTCTTTGCTAATGCGGTTTCCTGTGTCTGGTTTATGGTGGCTGCACAATAAACTGAAATATCACTATATGGCCATGTGCAATATGCTAACACAGAAGCTGCAATCTCTTTGATAAAGGTAAAATATGTGACAAACAGCATTATAATAAAGCCCTGTAGTTCTGAAGATATGTCCTCCTGCATCTTACTGCAGATGTAAGAAAACATGTTTGTTTTGTACAGAACAAATGTCACATCATTTTACACAGTTGGGTTTGTGCTAGAGAGAATAAATATTGGTAACTGTAAATTGAAATTGTAAACATGTATAATCCAGCACTAAAATGGAAATCATATTTTCAATACGGTAAAAAAATATGAATCGCAATATGATTATTTTTGTACCATACCGCCCAGCTTGAACCTCTGATGAAAGCACTTAACTGATATTATCGGTCAGTTTTATTACCAGTAATGGTTTATGGCCAATAAATACTGCTAAAAGAGTACAGACATTAATGAGCAACCAGGCCATCTCACCAATATTCACTGAACCTTCATAATACAGAACTGCCCACACCACACACTGCTACACACAGGCACAACCATGATCGCAATTCAATTCAATTTATTTGTATACGCCGTGGAGCGCGCAATTCATCCAACAAGAGTTACTCCTCAGGACACACTTTTCAAATAGCAGGCACGTCCTCAGACGCGAGACTCCTTATAACATTTACAGAGACCCAACAGTACCACCATGAGCAAGCACTTGGCGACAGGGGCAAGGAAAAACTGCCTGTTAAAAGGCAGAAACCTCGGACAGACCCTTCGGCTCTAGGTGGGTGGTCATCTGCCTTGACCGGCAATGTCCCCACTGTTGCCCCAGCAAACGGAGCCATAGTATTAAATAAGTTTTCACAACAAAAAAGCAATTGTCTCTATGTAAGTAATCAACTGGGGAAGTTTCATGGCGATATCTATTAGTTTATTTTTGTGAATTTTTACAATTCAGATCTTTGAAGGCCATTTTTACCTCACACTGTGAGCCAGACTTCAGTAGGATTTACACACACCAAACCTTCTGGTTTTACTCCTATCTATATTGTGAAGGTTGCTACAAAGGCTTTGTTCATATATCATTCATAGCCTGATTTATTCCTAAAAACTTTTTCATGGCTGTATTTTCTGATTTATGGAGCGATAAAAAGAGATATCCAAAATTCCCTCTGTAAAAAAACTTTTTAATCTAATATTTTAACAAAGTTAAGAATTTTGAATCTGGCTTTATCCAATGTTCAGATTTCTGTTCTGGAAATGTATGCAAAATAATGCATTTTTAATTAGATCATGCCTTATTTGCATAGTTAAACATAACATTGCCGAAACATGTAGTAAAGAAATAATTGTCTTAATGTAAGTAATCAACTGGGAACAAGTGTCATGCTGATATCCATTAGGTTAGTTAAAAACGTAATAAAACAAGTTACAAGCGTCTCTTAATTGAACTTATTAAAAGAACCGAAACCAATAGCTGCTTAGAGGGCATGAAAAAAACAGTAACACCATGCACTGTAATACGTGCATTTATAGTTAACATGTAACAACACTTATATGGTATTTTAAAGCGGGCCTGACTTGTGACACGTTTCCTGTAGTGTAGAATCTCACAAGTTTCATTTCCAAACTTAGTGCCGGGCAAACAGCTGGTGAAGAGGCCGGCCCGGCCCGGCCCGGCCCGGCCAGCAGCAGCAGGGGGTCCGACCGCTAACAGTACCCGTCCTAACATTAGTACCAAAACAAATGAGGCAGTGACTTTACCGGCTTCACACAAGAGTTAGCTAGCTAAAAGTGGTGACGCACTGGACGTACAGTATACAGTCAGTTAGCCACATGGCTGCCCATTCTATCTCTCGCGTTAGGAAGTTGGTGAACATTACGGTCCTGTATCCGGTGGCTCCTAATGCTACTTAGCACGTACTAACTTTAGGAAATGTGAGCTAACGTTACAACGCTGTGAAAATACTGCTGACGGTTGAATAAGACTGGCATTGAGAGTTCTCTTACAGATAGAGTCAGAGTTGTGAACGCTGATAAATGTGTTTTGGCAGGCTCTTCCAGTGTTTCTCCCACAGTCCGAGGCGTCAGGTTAGTTACAGCAGCAAGTACAAGAAGTTAAAAAGCTGCTGTTCCACAAGGAGCTTGACGTGGCAGTCAGAGGAAGGCGTGTGGATTACCGTTGTCAAATGTACCAGCATGAAAACAAGACATCTTCCGGCCGTACCCTCCAAAATAAAGGCGTCGTAATGAGGAACGTGCGGTATGACTCTGCATCATCATCATCATCATCATCATCATCATCATCTTAGTTGGTTCCCAACCTTTTCCTTAAAGGACTCCTTTTCTATAATTTAGTAAACGGACGACCCCTGACTAAGTGGCATATTTGATGGATATCCCATATTATATTCTAAACTGTACAATGAAGCCAAATAGTGAACTCATTAACTTCAAGAAGTGCAGTGTGTGAATTTTGAGCAGAATATTTCCTGTTTTCCTGTATTTCCTGTGTTCCTTCTTTTTTTTACAAAAGTCAGTGTTTTCTTGTCCCTGACGCCTGGCCATTGTTCTATTAGACGATTTACTTAATACCATCTAGACTAGAGTAACTATATCTTTAGACAGTGAGTCTCGGAGGTGTTTGGGGCCAAGTACAAGAATTTCATTTTTTTCTGAGTTTAACATCAGAAAATTGCAGCTCATCCAGGTTTTTATGTCCTTAAGACATGTTTGTAACTTAGATAACTGATTAATTTCATTGGGCTTGATCGACAGATATAACTGGGTATCATCTGCATAACAGTGAAAGTTAATGGAGTGATTCCTAAATAATTGCCTAAGGGAAGCATGTATAAAGTAAATAGAATTGGTCCAAGCACAGAACCTTGTGGAACTCCATGACTAACTTTAGTGTTTATGGAGGATTCATCGTTAACATGTACAAACTGCGAACGATCTGATAAATATGACTTAAACCAGCTTAGTGCGGTTCCTTTAATGCCAATTTGATGCTCAAGTCTCTGTAAAAGAATATTATGGTCAATGGTGTCAAATCAGCACTAAGATCTAATAATACAAGTACAGAGACAAGTCCAGTCGGAAGCAATTAAAAGGTTGTTATTAACTTTAACCAGTGCTGTCTCTGTGCTGTGATGAACTCTAAATCCTGACTGAAAATCCTCAAATAAGCTGTTGCTATGTAGAAAGTCACACAACTGTTTGGCGACTACTTTCTCCAGAATCTTAGAGAGGAAGGGGAGGTTAGAAATCGGTCTATAGTTGGCTAAAACCCCTGGGTCAAGAGTAGGCTTTTTAAGAAAGGGGGTTTAATTACAGCTACTTTAAAGGACTGTGGTACATATCTTTGACAATAAAGAAAGATTAATCATATCCAGTAAAGAAGTGCCAATTAAGGGTAAAACTTCTTTAAGCAGCCTAAGTTGGGATGGGGTCTAAGAGACAGGTTGATGGCTTCAATGTAGAAATTATTGAAGTTAGTTGATGCAGCTCGATAGCAGAAAAACTAAATATATAAATATAAATACAGTATATATCTGATTTTACATTTGTCGAAATTCCTGAACTAGGAGAGACAGTGATACCTGTTAAGGGCATTTGGTGATTCATTTTGTCTCTAATAGTAATAATTTTATCATAAAAGAAGCTCATTAATGCTGAGGTTTATGGGGATACATGGCTCAATAGAGCTGTTACACTCTGTCAGCCTGGCTACAGTGC